TGGCGGACAATTTGAATCATATTTCCGACGACGAAGAGTCAGAATGGCTGGCAAATATAGATCCAAGTTCATTAGATGAATCGAACGAAGAAAAACAGCTTGACGACCAGAAAAGTTCTTCATTTAATGAAGAAAATAGAAACAGCAACACAACAACGCGCCAATTCCGTTCCGCTTCGCATACTTCTGTCACGCACTCCCCGTAAATAAATATCCGCGAAATTCGCCCGCACTGAAATAACACTTTGGCGTGTTGGATAGTAAATAACTTATTAGACGTTTTGTTTTTTAGTATCGCTGAGTATTTGTATGAATTGTGCCGTATTTTGACGAACCCGTAGGGCGAGTCAAAATACAAATAACGAGTAAAATTACTCAGCGATACTACACAACAAAACGTCTAATAAGATATATTTATTCATTTGAGTTAGACATGGTTGTCACAGCGTGACTTATGTCACGCAGTTATTCGATTTATAATTTTCTATGGGCTCGTCAAAATACGGCACAACTCGTAAAAATACTCAGCGATACTACACAACAAAACGTCTAATAAGATATATATATTCTCCATACTGTTCTCTATACATTGCCAAAGGTGCTGACAAGGAGAATTTGTCCAACAATCTAGAGCTTCTCTAGTTGGTGACCATTTCCTCTATTCTCGTGTCCTTAATGTGTGATCAAGGGATGATAGTGTGAGAAGAAATTAGACAGCGGTTACTCTTAGGGGTTCTTAGGGTTTCTCTGAGAGAAAGATTCTGAGCAAGGTTACTCGAATTTATGATCCAATTGGCTTTGCATCTCATTTCTTATGAAGGCCAAGATAGGCCTGCAGGAGCTGTGGAAAAAAGGCATTGACTGGGACAAGAATTTACCAGCTGAAATTCAAGAAAAATGAACCAGCCTGTTTCACGAAATGTTGAACTTCAATGGCATAAGACAGAACAAGGGTTAATCTTAAAGGGTGAATGAATTAAAGGGTTATTTAATAACAGAATTATAAACAATTCAAAAATTTCTTTTTTCCAAGTTTTTTTTTCTGAGGAATCCCTGCCACCTACCTTTCTACTTCTTGATAATCTGACTTTATTCACTGTGCCAAACTGTGAGAAAAACTGTCTTATTTGATCCTCATAGAAGCCATGTGGAATGTGACCAAGGTAGATAACACCAGGTGTCAACTCATCAGCCTAAAACCAGAGAAGAGTGCTCACTTTGATTAGTCAATTCAGTGTAAGATTTGTTAAATTAAAGGACACTCTTTTGCTAAAATGCATCAATGTTATGTTATAAGACAAATGGTAAACACCAAAGCATACACACTTTAGTTATGGATACCCTTGGGAGGTTTGCTAAGCACGTGAGAAGCTAAAGTCGCGCTCAGTTATCACCTTGCATGACTCTTATACTTCTTGTGTGCTTAGCAACCTCCTGCATGCATCTATATCTCAGTTATGTATGCTGTGGTATTTACCATTTGTTAAATATTACATGATTAAGTTAGTACAAGCACTATCAGGGCTCGACACTAGCTTTTCAACTTGCTAGCCAATTGGCTAGTGACAACTTAGATGTTATGAAAATTTTAGTTTGTTTACTAGCCAAACTGGCTTGTGGAAATCAAAAATCAATAGCCAAAACTGAATTTCAACTAGTCTGGGGCTAGTTGGCTACCATTAGTGCTGAGCCCTGATTATGATTGGTCAGTTGGGTACACCATATTCCACTGTACAGCCCACTAATTTCAAAAGTTTGTATCAATTGAATTCCTTGCCCTCTATTCCTCCCCCCTATTCCTCTCCCTCTATTCCTCCCCCCTATTCCTCTTCCTCTATTCCTCCCCCCTATTCCTCCCCCTCTATTCCTCCCCCTCTATTCCTCCCCCTCTATTCCTCTCCCTCTATTCCTCCCCCTCTATTCCTCCCCCTCTATTCCTCTCCCTCTATTCCTCCCCCTCTATTCCTCCCCCTCTATTCCTCTCCCTCTATTCCTCCCCCTCTATTCCTCCCCCTCTATTCCTCTCCCTCTATTCCTCCCCCTCTATTCCTCCCCCTCTATTCCTCTCCCTCTATTCCTCCCCCTCTATTCCTCACCCTCCATTTTAACTCAGAGTTATAACAAATATTTTACAAGCCTTATTTTCGCAGTCCATACTGTTAGTTATGGAACCTTGTTTTTTTCTGATCAGTGTTGTGGCTCCCATGCTTCCCCTCTGAGCAGAAAAAAAATTGATCTGCAACTTATGTTACTGATGTCGAAAATGGATATCATTCAATTACATGTGTGCTAAGATCTACACTTAAATTTCACAATATAGCTGTGATCGCAGATTTTATTTTTTAAGGGAATGGCTTGAGATAGATCAGCAATGTACTTATTTCCTTAAATTTTTAGAGACATGCAATGAAAACTTCAGCTCAGCTTTTCCAAGATCCAGGCAATTGTTCACTGCATAGTTTCAGCTGGATAAAAAAATTCCAAAACAATTGGTCCCAGTCTTGTCAAATTCAAAGCCAGGAAAAAGGTCTCTGTCATGCAGATATTTCCTAATTCCCAATAATTTGCCAACTTTTCTATATTTACATTATATTACACTTATATTTTCATTGTAACTTGGATACATCAACAAAGTTGAAGTGGTAAATTGGTCACCGTAACTATTACAAAAGCTGACGTTTCGAGCGTTAGCCCTCTGTTAGCCCTCCGACAAAGGGCTAACACTCGAAACGTCAGCTTTTGTAATCATTACGGTGGCCAATTTACCACTTCAACTTTGTTGATATATCCAAGTTATTTCGTTACTCCCACCGACGCAGCCCCAAACAGCTTCTTTCAAAACTATCAGCCTTTATATATTTTCATTGGTTCTTTCTTACGATCTAAGGGAGGACAGACACATAGATGACATGACCATTAACATTTTGCTTTGCTATCAGATTAATAATAGACATGAAAATATTACTCAGTTCTGATTGGTTAAGATAAATGCAGTTTTCAGGTAATTCAGTGCAGAAGAGAGTTAATTCAGTGCAGAAGAGGGTTAATTCAGTGCAAAGAAAGTAACAAACAATGCATTCTGATTGGTCAATAATCAAACTCACAGAATTACCAAACTCACTGAACAATTCCTTCAACTGTTTGGCTGGAATTTGAACTTTTTTATGCCTCAACGATGTGAAAATTTCATTTTATCTTATTGTTTTGATCATATGGGGTTGTTTTGACCGAATGCACAATGTCACTTGCAGGGTTTGAATAAGTTATTTTTGCATGTGATGCATGTACTTTTCTTCTGCATACTTATGATAAACTACCTTGTATTTTTTCATGTATATTATCAATACATAATCACATGATTTTTCTGGTGCAATTTGGAAATAAATAAATGCTTGTAAATTTTTTCAAAGACCACATATTGCATTTGCCCTTTGGGCTCATGCAATTTTGTTAGCCTTTGGAAAATTTACTAGTGCTTATTTATTCCAAATTGCACTCGAAATCATGTGATTACCTATACAAAACAGATAGAATCCATTTCGGCGCGAGTCTACAGTGCAGTAACAGAATACAGAAGTCAAAGATGTCAAATAAGTTAAGAACATCACTGACACACTTAGCTGCCCCTAATGTACCACTTCTTCGTTCTTTAAAAGTTTTGACGTAGTAGTAAACCTTTATTTAACTAGGGTAATCCCTTCAAAATACTTAAAGGTATATCTGTTATCAATAGGAGCCCTAAATTAAAAACTAACAAAAAGTTTTAAAAATAAATAAGAAACTAAGTAACTAAGTTAAAATAGTACAGTATAACAATTAAAACTGATTCTTATTTAATTATACACAACCGAGCCATTATAATAAAAACTTTTCTTGGCGGTCTCAGTTCTTACTGAAGTTAAGTATATAAAATTGCTTCTTCTTGTTTCTCTTGAAATGACTTCCTTATTCAACTTAAATAATTTAATACGTCATCTGTGTTCTATTAATGAACAGACGCACGGGACACATGGAATCTTTTTGTTGAGCATACAGTAAAAAAAAAAAAAAAAATGGAGTTCAACCCAATACGCTGAAAAGAAACTTCAAGAAACAGGCGACAACGTACTCTTAACTGTACAATAAAACAATCTCCTTCTTACCGTGGCTTTGATTTTTTTTACTTTGTCTTCAAATTCTTTCTGTTTGTTCAAATCAAGAGCTAAAGTTGGCATTTCTTTTGTATCACTATCTTCGGTGTTTTTCTCCGCCATGTTGAACACTTTTACCACGTGCAGGCAAAGCGCATGTTTCAAAGACTACATATGAGCCCGCAATCCTTGCGGGAGAAGCCATTGCCTTGACAACCACGATAAACCGCTCAGGTTAGAGCACAAAATGGCGAAGTATGTTATTGCTGGGAAGGCAAATTGCCCTTTTTATGCTAAAACAGAGCTTCTTGCAGATGAAATTTCGTTGAAACTACCAGATTTTAAAGTCCATAAGATAGTCAAGCAGCCAGAGGATTGGGAAGGTTGGCTTAAAGAGACCTGCGAAGAGAAAGGATGGAGGCATTCTAGTTCTCCTCTTGTTTGGAGGGAGCTTGTCGATCGAGGTGGCGCAGGTATCCTTTTAGGCGGATGCGATGACTTTTTAGAAATGGCTAGAGGCTATTACGGCATCACCTCGGTTAAAATGAGCGACGAACTCTTAAATATCGCTAAGGAAAACCTTCAAACAAAGATCGAAATTGACGCCGAAGAGGAAGAACGAAAGGCAGCCATTACTCCGTTACGAATTTGCGTGTCTGGGGCATCAAACGCTCTGGCTTACGGTGTTTTGGGTCATTTGGCTCAAGGAGAAGTGTTTGGAATCGACCAAGAAGTGAGTATTTATCTGCTCGACAAGGCTGAATCTCAGAAAGTTCTTGAAGGTACAGCAATGGAGATCCAAGATTGTGCTTGGCCTCTGCTCAGAGATGTAGTGCAAACATCGGATCCAGCGATCGCTTTCAAAGATGCCAGCGTAGCTCTTCTACTGGATGGCATTCCCGTTGAAGAAGGAGTCGATAAAAAGGAGCAACTTCTCGCCAACGCTAAAATTTTTAAGGCTCATGGAGAGGCCCTTGATCAATATGCAAAGAAAGACGTGAAGGTGTTTATCGGAGGGGGGCCGTCTAGTGTCAACGCCTATGTCGCTAGTAAATTTGCTCCTTCGATACCTAAAAAAAATATCTGTGCCTTGGCTCGTCTTTTGGAAAACAGGTCTAAAGGGCTCTTGGCCAAAAAACTGAATGTCAACACCGCAGGAATAAAAGATGTCATCCTTTGGGGTAATATTGGTGTTCTCACAACAGCAGACCCGAGAAATGCAAGGGTTCATGGTTTTGATGGGGCCATCTGGGGGCCACATATTCCTGGATTCACCCAACATGTACCAGAAATGGTCCATGATGACAAATGGCTGACAGGAGAGTTTTTAGAAACCTTGAAAAAGCCCTTGAGTAGTGTTAAAAGCCCAAGAGGGACCCCTTCCTTGTCAGGGAGCTTTGCTGTGTTATCCCAGCTTCGTGATTTGTGGCAAGGGACATCATCAGAGATTTACTCTCTTGGGGTGTCTTCTGAAGGCTGGTATGATCTCCCGCAGGAAATCTTCTTTTCTCTTCCAGTCAAGTTTGGACAGGGATCTTGGAAAATTGTTGACAATATTTCACTTGATGACTCACTGAAAGCACAACTGCTGGCAATTGCTGAAGAACTTAAGAACGACTGTGAAGAGATTTTGAACAAGCTTAGTCCAGTGTCTTGAATGAATTTATGATGCAGATTGTACATAGGTAGATATGTTATAGTACCTATGCACATGTCAAATCAACTTTACAAAACTTGAAAATCCAATTAACTAATCTTCAATTAGGTGCAATATTTATGAGGTTATGTTTATTGTAAAGCAAAGAGTATAAAGAAGAAGCAATGTTTACAACACGTCTGTAAATAAAGCATTTCATTAGTATAATCATCAAACGATTCTTTTGGTTAGCCTACAGGGCAGGTTTCACTTTTTTGTGGTTCATAAGGTGAACATGGGAAAATACGAGAAGAACGCGAGGAAAGCGCGAGAACTACGCGAGGTAAGCGCGAGAACAACGCGAAGCGAGAGCGTGGGGTGAATCACATGCAAGGAGAGGGGCGCAAAGGAGAAAAACCTTTTTGCGCTTTCCCTTCCGAAATCGAAAACAGTCTGAAATCAGTCAGTGGAGACCAAAATAAAAAAGGTTTGCTGGTACGGTGAAAAAGTCAATTACTGCATTGCTTTTTCTCTGTTTCCGTTGATGTATGACCGTGTGACAGACGTGCCAAGGGGCAGAAACTAGAAAACGAAGAAGAATTCACAGAGAAGGAAGAGCAAAAGGATTATAAAGAATTGGCGCAAAACTGGAGCAAAGAAACCCTAAGGGCTTGTCCATCGGGACAGAAAATGACGAACTGAAAGATCTCTTCTGAGCATCCTTTGAGTTCCAGATTTTTGACGCATACTTTGCAATACACGCCTTGAATTGGTGCTAAAATGCGTTTCGCCGCCAAAATACGCGATTGCTTTGGGAGCGGCTTAACCTGCGAGCTGGATCTTACTATCAGCGCGGCCGCGAGGAGATTTTAGACGAGTCGGGGAGAGGTTCACCTGGAGTCTGACACTGAAAAATTATCCGTACTAGACCCCTTGCAGACCTTTTGCCGCTGATGTTGACCAAGGGCCTTATACTTTCCCGCGGGCGAAAAAACACTCGTACAGAAGCGCACACTTTAACGCTTTACACCCTTACATCAGTATGCATATTCTCCATACTGTTCTCTATACATTTCCTAAGTTGCTGACAAGGAGAATTTGCTCGTTAATCAAGAATTGCTGCAGTTGTTGATTAATTTCATCATTCTCATGACCTTAATGTCTAATTCAGGCGTGATACTGTAAGGAGAATTTAGATGCTAATCACTCTTAGGAGTTACAAGGTTAAATGAGGGCCTGCTCGCGGGCTAGGAACGGCCTGGCCGGAGAATCAAGTTGAAATCAAACCTTTCAAAACTTTTTTTTTCTCTTCCCTCTTCAAAACGCTTGTCTCTTTTCGTCTCAATTAAGGCAGGAAATGTCAGCGGAGTCTTTCTTCGCCGATAAGCTTTAAGTACGACAACAAGATTCATTTTTTACGCGCGTCACTGAGCAAGAATGTCAAAAATCTGGCAGTGAGAACTCAAACATGCTTCAAGCTAATGGTTAATTAAAAGCTAACCCGATGCACTGGGTAAAAACGTGGATAAGAGCGATAAGTTTCCTATTTTCAGATCATTTCTTGTGACATTAAGTTGAAAAACAGAATTTTTTTTAGCTCCAACTCTGAAACGATATCATTCTAAGTTTTTGATAAATTACTTAATTTTGAGGTCATGGGAAAATGAGTTCCGATTATGCCTCGACTTTTCCAGATCCCCGAGGTATGATTCGTTTTGTGAGCTTTAAGTTATACAAATTTGCGTTTGCTAATCATGATTGATAACATCGTGTTGTTTTGATTTTGCCACTGTTGTTTTTACATTAGACTTTTGCCTTTTAAATTTGACAGCTGCGTTTTGATAAAAAATGTTTGTAAAATTATTCGCATTCATTCACATGTCTCTATCGCAACAAAGTGACATGGACCGGAATATTTTCTTTTAAGTGATATCGAAAACAGCTGCTTGACAAAACCTTTCAAAGCTGCACTTCAGAACTGGACTATTAGAAATGGCAGCGCTTGGAAAAGGTGCGATATTCTTGATTCTGTTTTTTCTGTGGTGCGCCTACGTTGTCCTCGGAATCTTCGTTTTTGCTGCAACAGAAGGCAATGCAGCGCATAATTTTCAAGAGCGAAGAGAACGACAGAACATGACTGGCTTGAAAGCTGAAACGATGCAGAAACACAACATGACCGATGCTGAGTTTGAGACCCTCACGAAAAAGATTCGTGAGGCGGCGAACTCAGACGAGGATTATCCCGATGAACGGCGATGGAATTACGTAGACTCATTTTGGTTCGTGGTCGTTCTACTTACGACTATTGGTAAGTCAAAAGAAAATCACAGTAATTAATGCAAAAATCATGAGTCACCCAGGCGCGTGTGAGTCGTTACGATTCAGAAATAGCGAGGGAATTAAGGCGTTGGCCGGATTTGTTTTGATTTCATTAAACATGAATCTTTCACAGCGTAACAATAATAGCGAAAGATTGCTCTAAGCACAATGACTGAAGAGGTATCAGTTCAAGCTGTTGATAACTTTAGGTTTCTTTGCAAAGCATCACGAAACATATTCTCAAAACTGCTCTTCACGTTAGAAATTAAAGACGCAGACATTTGGTCGCAATTTCAGAGTTCTAACCTCTTGTACTTCTTTTAAAGTAGTTTCAATTCCTTTTTCATAAACAGATCAAAGTAACCATTGAATACGGTAAAAACCCGCATGTAAGAACCTAGTAATTAAGAACCTTTTTGGCAGAAATTTTGGATTGTAATACCCAAAAACTTAAGAATCTGTTTACTCAGCAAAACCTGCATGGTTCTTATATGTAGAGTCATTCTGGATAATGAAACAATGTTGTAGCAAAATATGTCTGTAACTATAAAATAAATGTTTTCTATACATTTGATACTTCCATAAAACATGTCACAATACAGTTTCTCCACTGTATTTATGGCTCCCAGGCATGTATTAAAGCTAGTTAAAAGAAATGTACTCCTGGGTATAAACTTCTAAACTGTGTAATTAAGTACATTGTTCAGTAACAGTGTATTGTACAGTTTAGTATAGAAAATTAAATCCGGCATTAAAGATATTTTAAGAACCTATTAAGAACCTGTTTTGCCTAAGTTGTCAGTAAATACCCCAAAACATAAGAAACTATTTTGCCAGACATGAAAAAAACTAGGTTCTTACACGCGGGTTTTTACTGTATTTGCATATCTTGCAACAGCTAAATAGCAAATTAGAGCTTTAAGATCGATAGAAATTTCTTTAATCCTTGAACTTCCATGAGTGACCAAGACGGAATTTCTCCTTACAATATCAATACAATATCAAGCAGACAAGTGATGAGAAAAAAGAAAAATATCAATTAGGGGATCATTAGTTGATCCAATACCAAATTCTCCAAACTAACTTTATTTGAATTGTATAGCAGACAGTAAGGAGAATCACTTATGAGATCCTGGGAGTGAAGGGGCCACCGTTTGGAGAAAAAGTTAACGGGCGCCATTTGTCATGGAGAGCGTGGACCAATTCTCTTCTAAGATCCTTCAATTTTGTATGAAAATGTCATGCTCTCTTGAACTGCATTTTGTGAACTTTAAATTTCTCTTTACAATTCGTTACATCATTTAGCAACTAATTGATGAGAATAAAAATAGATTTCAGCTGGATTTAACACTAAACGTATCAACGCTTTCACTCCCAAGATCGTATTGGTGATTTCCCTTGCTGTTTGCCATATAATTCTTTTGGTGTGAGTTTGGAGATCTTTGTAATGGATCGTAAGGAGAATTTCGTTTGCGAGATGACGCCTTGGGTTAACTTTCGTAAAACTGACCCATCCCATCGTCTGCAGAGGATCTTCTTTCTTTTTGTTTTCAGTTTCTCTTAGATCAAACAGATGTATTAGAATAGCTGGTCCTTTCCCCCTTTGAAGCGTTAAAACCAAAACTAAAGTCATCACGACAGCCGACCAAATCAAATTTCCCGTTATAAGTAGTCAACCAGAGGGCCCCCTAAAGTCTAACCTCTGATTGGTCGAGATGACGGCGCGAGTGTTTCGGACCAATCACAGAGCGAAGTAAATAAAAACCCGGTAAATCCTGTATTACTTGCGACACTCAATTGGAAAATGCCTTTAATGTGGTGTTTGCTTCAACTCAGGTTATGGTGACTTGTTCCCAGTCACACTCATTGGCAAGGTCGTGTGCGGGGTGTACGCTGCATTTGGCATCCCTATAACCATTTTGCTCCTGCGATTTATCGGCCAGCAGATGCTACGCGGAGAAAGAGCGCTGATCACCACCATCGAGAGAAGCTGTCTGAAAAGGAATGGGCCCCCGGGTCACCTGAACGAAAAATGTTTCGTGTTTGGCTGTCTGTACTTGTTGGTATTGGTCTTTGTGGGAGCTGGTGCTTCAATGATTATAGAAGAAGGCTGGAGTTATGAAGAATCCATCTACTTCTACGTCATCACATTCACGACTGTCGGTTTTGGAGATGTATATCCTCAAAAAGGGAGATATGTCACCATCCCGTTGATATTCTTGGGTCTGACCGCCATCTCGAATATTCTTCACGCGGCTGCCGCGTGGGCGCTGATCAGGCGTGTCACCGCGGGCTCACTCGAGACCGAAGAAACTGGAAAATTGACGGAATCAACGGAGAAAGGAACTGAGGGCTCATTCGAGACCGAAGAAACTGCGAAGTTGGCGGAGTCAACGGAGAAAGGGACCGAGGTTTAAAGATGAGAAGTAAGCTTGTGAAAAAACTGTCTATTCAAACGTTTAAAATATATATTTAATGAGATACTTTTTATCATCATTACGAAGAGCTGAACTTGTAGAAAGTAATGTAGTAGTGTAATGGCGTAAGACCAAAAGAAAATTGATCAAAACAGGCAGTTACAAAAAATGAAAGTATAAGAACCAATCTAGGATCAAAATGAAAACAACCAGTACGCTGAAAGCGCGGGAAACGTGAGTGGTTACGATGCAAGTGGGTCAAGGTTGTCATCTGATTGATTGTAAAGGTGGCATGGGTTTTTGTTTTGAACAATCACGAAGTAAAGTTAAGCAAAAATCTACATAATTGCTTAGCAAAGGATAGGAAATTTTCGCTCGAGTTCTTGCGCTACTTGATTCCTTCACATTTGAGAGTGCAAATTAAAGTCAATTTTCTCGTTGTTTGCACGTGCGGAGGGTCACATAAAAGTAAATCGAACTAAACATCGGACAAAGCTGTAACCTCTGAGTTGATTGTTTGGTAGGAGGTGGGGTTCTTCAGCCAATCTGCTTCCCCCCACCCCCGAACAATTTCTATCTCCTTGACCTTTAGCCCAATTAACGCTTTGCATGCTAATAAGAGCCGATGGAACCAACTAGTTAACAATTATTCCACGAGCGCGCGTTGGATATGAGATGATAGATAGCCAACGAGGTGCTACGTGCCTCGTTGGCTATAATCATCTCATATCCAACAAGCGCGAGTGGAATAATTGTTTTATTAAAAACGTTAAATTGAATTATTGAATTTTATTAAATTTTTAGCTCCCTTTTAATTTTTAAGCTGACACGTACGCTTACCATATTTGTAGATTATGATATATTGGCTGATATACCATAATGGCTAAGCCAATAAAAAGTCTTGAATTGCATTATCCAATGATCCAGTTTTTAATAATAACGTATATGCTTGTCATACACACGAGATATCAAACAAACAGTTAGAAATATTCCGCGTTCAGAAGAAAAAAAATGGGAATAAACTTTACTTAGCTTTTGATGTTGTGCATTACATAATATCGAGTTTTGCTATTACTCTTCTTTTCAATAACTGTAGCAATGCGAACAATTGAGGATTTTCACGTCAGACTTAATGATTACGTAGGGGTTTCTTCTTGCGATAGGAAAAGCGATTTTGTCCGACTTGGAATCATTAATCCAAACTATTTTAAGACTAGGTATTCTGACATGATAGAGAAGACATCGAAGAGTTAAATTGTGATGAAAAAGAAGAGGCGAATTTTTTTAAGGCACATGTAAGGCAGTTAAACGACCATTTTTTCTGCTATGTCAAAAGAAAAGTATGTATTAGTAGAGGCAAACGAACATCGCTCCTCGCTGGGGTCACGAAAAACCTACTTGAAATATGTAAATTTAACAGTGTTTGTCGACACGAAATAAATTGTTATGATTTTTTCTCTTCTTATCTCACTAATGATTGTAAAACAGCTGTAAAGTCCTGCTTATAAGCACTTAAGATTAATCATCTAAGCTTTGAGGTTCGAAGGTTTCCTTAGCAACAAAAGTGACGTACATGCAAATTACGAAATTTTCATAAGTGCAAGATCACCAGGAAAACAAACCTGTGGCGTTGTTGAAGCTTGCCGTCATGGTATTACTCACAGAAAAGGCGAAGCTACTCTTGATTCTTTTTATCTCATGGTGCGGGTATCTTTCACTCGGAATGCTCGTGTTTACTGCAGTGGAAAGCAAAGACAAAGTCGAGGAATATGAGGCGAAGTGGAATTATGGAGATTCTTTGTGGTTCTCGTTCGTATTAGTCACAACTGTTGGTAAGTAGTTGGAGACTCAACGAGTCGAACTTCCTTACATTCTAGTCCTAAGATGCCTCAATGCACAGTGACAAGGTCGTAGCCGGCTTCGATTTAATCAAAACAAGAAAAATACATTTGTCTGTTCTACCCGGAAATTCCAGTCTTCTTGCAAACCCAGAGTTTTCTTTTGAATGATTTTAACAGAAGGTTTACTTCAGTATTCCGTCAGGTGATCTGACAGCCCCAAACTCAACGGTTTCTTGTAATCCTCGTTTTAGAAGTTTTTCTCCGTGATTTATTCTATTTTTCAAAGCACAATCAACCAAATTTGAGACACAATGAATATTTTTGAAGGTTTATCATTCAGATTTAAAATAAACGGCTTGAACCTCTCACGGAACAAAGGCCAAGAACTATGAAAAACTTGGATTCTATTCTCTTCTTTAAAATAGTAATGATTTTCAAGAGAAAATTCGTATCAGTTTTACGAAAAATCTGTTGCAAATTGAAATAGCAACAATTTTCACCTGCTTGAAACCCTAATATGTGATTCTGTCGACACTTAATATTATTTTGAATATTAATCTGAAGCTACCAGATTCTGCGGTTCATCGACGCTGTATAAATTCATATTAATTTTAGTATTTTCAGTAATCGATAGTTCTTTTAAAAAGTCAAACTGGGCATCTATTTTGAACGTTATACAAAAACTTCATAAGGTCCTTGCAGTGTCTAAGGCAGCCCATGGTTTTGGTCACTAAATACAGAAGCCAGCTGTCTTTGACTAATTTGTCTTTCCTGTTGATTACCACGACGGCGACGGCAACGAGGACGTGGAAAAACAAGAGATCTAATTGGCAGAACAATAGCTCAGCACGTGCGTTTTGAAACTTTGCACATTTCTTAGCCGTCCTATGCAAAACAACAACGTGAAATCGCCAAAATCTGCGTCGTCTGCGAAACGAAACCGCGACGGCAAATTATTTTAATTTCCATTTGGAACTCAACGGCTACTTTATACGTCATGCTGAAGTTCAGCTGTGGCACTGTATGAGACAGTAAGCTCCTGCAGCCATTTTTGAAATTCTAGCTAGGAGTAGAAATTCATTTTTCAATCGAAGTCTTCCTTGGCGTCGCCGTCGGGGTTTCTTAAGGTCCCTAATCTCGAAGCACGACGGGGAGGAGCTTTGATTGGCTTACTTGATTACCATTGTGGTCTCGACATAACAAACTATCAAATTAGTTTTCTTTCAGCTACAAATACATTACATGAACACTTGTCGGGAAGTTCGTGTCATTGGTTGACAGAAACCAGCGGCGAGAGTCTTCTCCCTCTGCTCCAGTCCTTTGCGCGCCAACTCTTCTTGGAGGAGTTAAAATATTTGCACGCTTTAATTATTGAAATTTCTTAGCATTTCTTGCCGTTTAATCAGCTCAGTTAACGTTCCATACTAAATCTCACTTACTTGCCTCTACATGTTCTTCATGAACGGTAGCTTATTTAAGAAAAGGTTATTCATCATCGCCTAAACTGCGAGAGGGAGGTGGGATAAAATTTACCCGATCCGCCATGAGGTTCTCTAATGAACCCCACTCTTTGGCAGTTAATTGGCAGTCAATTTCCTATTTCCCCCTTCTACTCTGTTGGCGACTGACGTGATCCCTCCCACCCCTCCGTTCCCCCCGAAATCATGTGATGCCCTCAAAATCCTTCGACCCCTACCCCCTGGCAACAATAATGTTTTTTTTTTCTCGAACAGGCTATGGTGATGTGACACCCTGGACAGGTCTCGGCAAAGGTCTGTGCGTATTGTACGCCACTTTTGGCATACCCTTAACTTTTCTTCTCCTGCGACTTATTGGCTTGGAAATGCTTCACGGTGAGAGGAGATTAATCAACACTATCGAAGAACGCTATCTGGGAAGGAACGGGCCGCCCTACCACTTGCACCATAAGTGTTTCCTGCTTGCCATCTCGTTCTGGTTGTTGCTGTTTCTTGTGGGAGCTGCTGTCCAGATGTTGGTCGAAGACTGGGAATATGGAGACAGTTTGTACTTCTACGCGATCACCTTCATGACGGTGGGTTTTGGAGATCTGATACCACTCGCGAGGTATATCAGCGTGCCCTTTACGATGCTAGGGCTGGCCGCCGTTTCAAATATCCTGCATGCGACCGCGTCACTGCCGCTGATCAGACGCATTACCGCGGGCTCGCTGAGAGATGAAGAGCTGGCTCAAGTTTGAAGGACGAAAAGAAACTTTTAGTAAGACTTATCTCATCGATAAAACTGTGATTTCTGTTGTTACAGGTTTAAATCAGAATACATTTAACAATCAAGTGGCTAGATCAACCAGAGCCAAGTTTAATAGGGTGTGATGAGTTGCATAAACCTATTTATTTGAAAAGTAACTTTCGTAAAACGTATGTAACCTAGCTACCACAAAATCGTTACGAAGTGCAAAATCAGAAGTATTTTAAAAACGGGCTTCCAAGTTGAGGTTTAAGTGTATCAAAGTAAGATTAAAAATTACAGAAGAAACTTTTTTGTGCGAAGCTCTCCAAAAAAATTGTAAGTCAAGCTTAGATGTTTTTAAAACAACTGTAATTAAAAAGTTTCTGTTTGATTTTTAATCTTTTCTTCTCTAGAAGTTATTTAAGATTTTTTACGGCATTTTTGATATAATTTTTACTATCAATAATTTTATTCATCAGAAGAGAGAGTGACTTTTTTGCAAAAGAAAATAATGGGACCCATTGTTCTTCTTTAAGGCTTTAGTTCAGCAATAACTGTATTATTACCTCGAGGTTGTTACAAGAAACAAAATATCGATCACCTTGTGATTAAAGCGCTTCGCGGGCTGTAGAAATATTATGGAAAAACGCCAAATAGATATAAAATTTATGAATAAAATTATAGGTAGATAAACGCACCTGGTTGCTGACCTACTTATTGTAGTAAATGGATGAAATTACACCCGCTTTCCCCTCTCTGATGGTAATACGTCCTAAAATCCGATTGGCTAGCTCAATGATTTTTTTTTTAATAGAGCGACCTCGGTTTGTACGGCCCCACAATGCCTCCATCACGGCTGGGTATTCGTAATTTGCCGGAGAGAAAAAACGTGGCGGATAAATAAAAATTTTCCATTACAACCCAGCTTGTTCGTTGAAGAATAGTTCCTTGGTTTAATTATATCCCTGAAGTTGCGTTAACATTCTGGAATTATCGCTGGCAATTCATTAGGTTCGATAAGCCACTGCTTTTGGAGAAAAGACCCTACGCTGTTAGATTGAGCCTGGGAGCTAATGAAACAGCGGTCAACTGTCGGGCATGCGCGAATGACTTAACTTGGGTTGGTTGCTGGCGCGCCAGTTTCCCGCTCAAAGTTTGCAAAGGAAAACGCAAGAACCAACCGCCTAACGAAAAAGAAATTAAAAGGTGGTAAAAATTTGTAAATTAAATAAAAGAAAAGTGGGGAAAGAGTAAACCTGAGACTTTTCGAGCTCAAAGTTTATCTAATTACGAGTATTCTGTTGGTTTATCAGTTTATTCTGAGCTTTACCAAGACAGTTGTACGCTTTTAAAATACGCTAAATTACTGACGTGTGTGTAGATCCTTAACAGTTATTGGACGACTTGGCCCTAGAACACAGCGGTCAAACATTTGCGCATGTGCGAACGTTGCAGTTGATGACTAGGTCGCGTGTAGTCTGTCTCAGTTTGTAATAATATTCGCACTTTGACTTTACAAGACCTGTCGCACTTTGTAATTAAATTGTCGCACTTTGTATTTAAAAGATGTCGCACTTTTTAATGACAGAACATCGCACTTCGTAATAAAATTCACGGTCACACTTTGTATTAAAAATGCTGTCGCACTTTGTAATGAGGG